AGTTCGTAAATTTAGAAAATAAATAAAGAAATAAAAGGCAAGATCAATTTAAAGATTTTATCCATCCTTATTATTTCTCTGTTGCCTTGTCTTCACTATTCCTCTGGTTTTCAATGCTTTGCCAATCCATACACCTTTACAACCGTGTCCGTCCAAATATACCCTGAGCCTGATGAATTGGAGGAAAACATTACCTTGGTTTTTAAAAACATAAAAAAGGTATCCTCGTCACCTCTTATACCTCATTTAGTCTTTTGTTTTTTCCATCGCACCTTGCAACTTATGTTTAAGTATGGAGGCATCAGGAGCTTTTTCGGGGTCGCCAAATTGTCTTCGTCTTCAATATTAAAAGCTTTTTTCCTTGAATTTCCTGAGATTATTGGTTGAAGTGGGTGAATCGAATTAATCAAAGGTATAAATTAATGAAAATGACGATGTAGGTAGCGATCGCGATGATCAGTGATCTTAGGGTCTACTTTTAATGAATGTGGCATTTCATTAAAATTTTTCCTTTTTTTGTATTCTCGTATCTGTAATATTTGAGGGGGGGGAGTTTCTATAATATGGGGTGCTGCGTTCGCGTGGAGTATAGTAAGATAATAAACTGTCTGTCAAGTGAGTTGATAATGCGAATTGGCCACTGTAGAGCGATTAAAAGCTGATGCGCCGAGCGTAAAGCGTTCGTCAGAACTCTGATGAAGGGCTGACGCTCGAAACATCAGCCTTATAATGTCTCTGTGCAGGCGAATTTCCCTTATCAACTCTCTCGATAAAACTTCATTATCTAGTAATTTTTGAGCTTGTGTCTAAAAGTTCAGTTTTCAAACTTAGCATTGTCCATAAACTGCTTCTTAACTAGTTTTCTTGAAATACTTTCAGGCAAGCGGAGATATAAGAGAGTGTGTATTCTGGGACATGTTTGGAGATGGGTAAGCCTCACAAGTGTTCCGACGAAAACTCTTTTCTTGCAAAACTCTACGAGATGTCTTTCCATTTCTTTGACACCTATTGTGTAGGTCATGTAGAAAGCTGAATAAGATTTTATAGCCTGGAACTACAGTCGACCAC